GCTGGGGCATTTATCGTTAAAAGTTTTGCTCGTGTAGATAGTGCTCGTGTCCTGCATGGGAATGTTCAGTCAAATAAAAGCTTAATAAGCGCCGAGGATGAAAATATTACGGTTAACCATAATATGTTAATTATTTAGGAAAATCGATGTACGAGAGAGGAATAATTTATTTTAAAAAGCAAAGGATGATTGGAGTTGATGGAGTATCGCAGTCATTTATCGACTGGATTATAAGCTTAATTAATTAAATTTGGCAATTTATAGATGATGACGTTATATTAGGGATTTCAATAATTTATTATTTACTAGATTATAAATTTAAATATGACATTTCACAAAATTGTATATTGCATACATTTCAGTGTAGCAGAATGTTTGTAAATTATGAACTTTTAAATTTCTCGATAAGCGGTGATGTATTAAGTATTGATAAACAAAAAAAAAGCAAAAAAATTGATATCTTTATGCTGAAGATTATTATCTCGCAATTGCTTTGTTATTGAATTTTGCCACTTATTAGTACATGTACTTTATGATAAATTCGGTTTTTCTAGTTGTTGTTATCATGTCTGGAAGCTATCTCTTTTTTCATATACTGGCATTTGCATTTGAAAACCTGAGAACGATCGTAATGGATAAAGACTCTTTTCCTGTAAGGCCGTAGGTGTTCACAGCGAACGTTTAGATCCTTATTGTTTTAAGCACGCAAGGATCACGACGTGTCGTCTCTAAGCCAGACCCGTGTCTCTCCTCCGCCCCTCTCTCTCATTCTCTCTCTCTCTCTCTCTCTCTCTCTCTCTCTCTCTCTCACTATCTATCTATCTATCCAACCATCTTACTCACTACGTCAATTCGCGTGAGATACAAACCGAGTTCAATCGGGGGAAACAAAAAGTGCCTTCACATTTTACTGCCTGGCGACGTGCGTGTCTCCGAGATTTTCCTTTTATTTCGCCTGCGGCCGTACTTCCTGTCCTGGACATCGATCAAGAATTCTCTTCTCCCTCTCCCGCTCTCTCTCTCTCTCACTCTCTCTCTCTCTCACTCACTCTCTCTCTCTCTCTCTCTCTGTCTCTGTCTCTGTCTCTGTCTCTTTCTATCTCTTAGACTACGGTCATCACTTCCTCTCACTTCACGAACCAAAGCTGACGTTTCAGAATAATTCCCCGCCAAATGTCTACGTACGCTACATATCCCGATGCACGGGCCAAAAATCGAAGCTGCCTCCTCTCCTTGAATGCGTCGACTCAAGGCCAAGCGCCGCTCCCTTCCTCTACAATCGATATCTCGACAAAGGCCAGGCGCACGCGATTCCCGTTTTATTCCTTTCGGCAATGTCGTTTTATAGCGCCTAGGCGTATTGCCGAGTCGTCAGGTTGTGTAACCAAGCAAGTTCGTAAAGACGTAGGCGCTTGTCCTCCCGATCCCCGGTAATCCGGCGCTCGATCCTAAACCTGCGGCGATCGTTCAATCGAATTTGATTGGGCAGCTGCGGCGAGGCTACTCACTCACTACGCCCTTAACGAGACGCGAATTACGTGACTCGGACGCGCCATTGGCAAAAGTCCACTTTATCGCGCGGCTACCTAGCGCCCCGAACACTTTTCGCGTTCGCTTTCCCAAGCCGCTCGGTTTGACTTCGTATTTTGTTAGCTCTTCGTGCTGCCGATATTCCGCAGACAGCGCCGCTTTCTTATATTGCAGATTACGCCGTGTGTGCGAACGCGCGGGACCGATGCTATCCGATCACGGAGATTTCCAAATAACATCGGCAAATTACGTGGGCAGAACGAATTAATTATTCGAGTCGCATGGACAATGATGGGAGGGATGCCTGTCTTATGCGACGCAGGTACTTGTGTTTAGAACCAAAGGTGATTAAATTTTTGGCTTTGCGCGAGCCTTCGAGAGTGATGGAACTTTTTAACTTAATCTACTGTTGAAAGTCGCAACACGTACGAGTAATTAAGATATGACGCATGCAATCATGAAACACGATGCCACTGCGTTAATTTTAAAAACAGTTTTCTAAATAGCCTCCCCGATCATTTCGATACGTAATTTTGAATTAATATTGGCACGGATGTAGCGAGGCCCTTACAGGATATGTATCGAGAAGCGATGCGCGCTCTACCGAACCGAAAGGTTAGCGATGATGATTTTTTGGTATTGGTAATTATATATATATATATATATATATATATTTAAAAAATGGAACCTAGCGTTCTCCTCTTCTCCAAGACCAACGCGCGCTCCGAATCGTAAACCCAATCGTTTCTCATTGCACTAAGTTGACGTTTAATTTCCGTTCGTATCCGCTTGTTTATTCGCTGTCCCTTTCGCAATGGAATGGACCCATTACCCCCGTACGCGTACAATTCTTTATTTTCGCACCTTTCCAAGCTTAATATACTCTGCGTATTGGTGCACCATAACCGAGGTTATTTGCAATGCATTTACAGCTTCGGAGAAGGGGATAGAGAGAACCGAAGAAAGTATAAAGCGGCAGACACGGGTACCAAAGAAGGGTCAATAGAAAGGAAAAATAAAGTCGTGTAATGGAGCGATGGAGAGCGGCAGTAAAGAAGTTTTGCACAGAGCCTAGAGAATTAGTCAAGTTATTAAGGAAATGTATTATTATCTAATGTTGATGGATTAGAAAGAGCCGGTGCATCGGTGTTACCGACCTTTCTTACAATCAATCTCTGACTTTCGCCCGATTTTGAAAACAAATCAATAGCCATTGAATATAACTTTCATAAAGATTGTGCTATTATAATACATTGTGTTTAAATCTACATTTGGCACATTCGACTCAACCGACTCGTGTAATACTTTTGCTTTCTCTCTCTCTCTCTCTCTCTCTCTCTCTCTTTCTTTCTCTTGGGGTTATGATCTTGAAGCAAAGATCTTACGAAATCCTATATTGCATTCTTTCGTGATAGTAGCGACCACAGTTGCTCAACACTTCCTTTTTATTTATTAGAAAAATAAATTATTTATTCCATAATTACATAAAGCTGTATAAATATAAATAAAATTATCTCGCGCAACATTATTTTTTAACGACTTTCATGTACATAATAACATCGACTGCGTATCTAATTATTTCACGCATCCTTCGGTATTCGTAAAATATATTTCAGCTCTTAAATTTCTATTCCAATTCCGATAATCTTAAACGATTTATAAGTACGCCGATTAAATAAATGTAAATAGTTTTTCGCAGTTCATAAAATTGTTGAATTTTCCAATACCGAAGAGCTAATGGTTACCGCTGATTATTTATAAGAGCACATTTTAGATGACTTAACTAGCCTCTCATGTCCATTTGGCACAAAGTATATTTCCCGCTTGAAAAAATGTTTTGCATTACGCGACACCATTTTAGAGTGCGTCCCAAGACCCACGTCGCACTATTCTCTTACAGCACTTTGGAAGAATCTTACGACCCGCGGGGTAGGGGCTTTATTTACGGCTGTTATAAACGTCCAAGATCGTCGTGGATGCTCGCATTTAACTCCACGAATGCGCACAGAAGCGAGAAAGCGATAGAGAGTGAGAGAGTGAGTGAGAGAGAGAGAGAGAGAGAGAGAGAGAGAGAGAGAGAGAGAGAGAGAGAGAGAGAGAGAGAGAGAGAGAGAGAGAGAGAGAGAGAGAGAGAGAGAGATTTTGCTAGGTGGGTTTTCTCAGCGCTGGCATCGCCGCTGCCCCCGCGACTCGTCCTTTAGACGATTTAACGAGCCGTTATACGGATGCTGCTTTTGTGACGTACGCCTTATACGTGCCTCGTGTCTAACATCCTACATCCTTGCACCCGTACGAGCACCCGTTTTCTCTCTCTCTCCCCCCCTCTCCCCCTCTCTCCCCCTCTCTCCCCCTCTCTCTGTGTGTTGTGCGTTTGTGTGTACAAAACACACACACACACACACACACACACACACACACACACACATCTATATATATACTTGCACTAGAGTAGCATATTAGAATTATACAGAGGAGGGAAAAGTTTTTACGATGCCGTTTGGAGCGTGCTTTTTTATTATGTTTGGCGAATCGATGATAGTTAGACGAGTGCGATACGGGAGTTTGGAGGGATTTATTCAAGGATAATGACGAGGCTTAGATTTGCAACATAAAATTGTATTCATTTATTTCTTCAAATAACAATTTTACAGTACTAATGTTTTTCTTGGAAAGTATTACTTTGCATTATTATCGTCAGGGAAGATATATTTGCTTTTAAATAATACCGGTAGAGAGCTACATTTTCATGCGGTTGGAATTCTAATAAAGATGGAAAAGCGCGTGCAAGGAATACGCAACAATGTTGTTAACCAATTCGATTAAAGTCATTTACAAGTCAGCGGCTGTAAGTAATAGTGCTCGTTATTTTCTTTATATCGATACATCATAAATGACTGACGAAATATATAAGCTTTATCGCATATGTGCTTTAGGTTGTAAATTTTTAATGAAATGATCAGATGTTATTGTGAAGGGATTATTTATTCGTCGTATCAATAGTAAAAATCAAGGATCATTAGCAGGTAAAAAGTGCACTTTGCGCACGTGTCCATTACCATGTGAAGATTGATGTATCTATGGTAGAGTAAATCCTGATGATTATGAAAGCTTGAAGGGAGACTGGCTTTCATTAAAATCAATTTCCGAAACAAATTTGCCGGGTCCTATGTACACAAACAGACAAAAAAAAAACTATTGACGTCGATGCAATAGTTTCAATCTCCCTATTTCTTTACACTTGCTATCTGTCTCTCTCTCTCTCTCTCTCTCTCTCTCTCTCTCTCTTTCTCTCTCTCTCTCTCTGTCCCTCACTGCCAGTTCGCCCATCCGCCCGTGTCCACCCTTTCTACAAAGAGCGGCCGAATAATGCCTTGGAAAAAGGAAAGGGCAAAAAGTGGGAGATTCGTGGATAGATTGATGACGTACCGGCAAGGCAGAACGTGTAATGAGCCTTCGTTTTTTGCTTGCAGATGGAAGACGAGGGCAATCACGGTAACGACGACACCAGATGCTTCATCCTGTCGACCCTGGCGGCACTGCAGTGGTCGAGGGTCTCGTGCGTGCTGTGTCGCGCGGCGATGCTAGTCTTTGATAGATATCCCCTGGTTGACGGCACCTTCTTTCTGTCCCCGCGTCAGCACTCAGCCGCCTGTGCCGAGGTAAGTCATATTTGTGTAAGCCCTTTGTTAGGCCAGTCTCGCGGCCCTGGAGCTGCTGACCCTCGACGATAAGTCGATCCGATAATGCCTCCTAAGTTGCTTTACGGATCGCGGCATCTCGATCGGTGCCGGCCCGGTCTTTACTTATTTTGGGATTTTAATTTTTTCTTCTTCTTCATCGTCGTCATCATCTTTTTCATCATCTTCTTCTTCTTTTTCCTCGCTCTTCTTCTTATTCCTATTCCTATTATCCTTGCACTTCTTGTTCTTCATTATGTTTCCTCGGTCGGTTACTCGACCCCACTTTTTATGCGGCTTTGCCCTCTCGGCCACTTCAACGTATCGCCACCTATTTTCGTGATCGGTCTCACTTCGCAACCTGGCAACTTTAATGCCATTAGGCAAGAGTCATTAAACCAAAATTACTTTATCGTACGAGCAGCCACCGCGAATTCCACATCGGCAAAACGGATAACCCTATCGCTCACTAATCGTTGCCTTACAAATCCGTTTTAACGACTATTGTTTATTAAGACGCGCTTCGTTGTCCTCCCGGCCACGACTCATCCCCATTGTATTTATCCTTTGCCCTCTGTTACTCTGGACTGCCTCGACGACATCCGTTTTATCCTACGGATTATTCCTCCCAATATTTATTTGTGTTTTTGCTTCACCCACGTCTACGTACGGTCTATCTATCGCCTTGGCATTCGCAGATTTAGCCCGCGCGCTCCTCTCCCCCGCCCTGAAATCAATGAATTCGCGATCATTGGCTGATGTCTTCCCACGAGTATCCATTACGTCGGCTAATTTTAACGTTCCGATCCGAAATCAATTACACCGATAACTTCTCAGCTGGATGCGTGACACTTTACAAACGACCTACGTGATTTTCAAGAAAAAGTAAAAAATCACTTTTTAAGCTATCCAGTTACCGTCTGTCGTTTACCGCGCGATTTTTCATCCCCCTTCCTCCCACTCTAAAATCAGAATCAACCACGCCATTGATCCCGGCTCTTGCGTAACTTTGGCAGCACACTAGTCCGCGAGGGGATTTTTATTAAAAAAATTTAAAAAAAAAAGGCGAAATAAAGAGCGAAACAATGAGAGATTGGGGCGAACGGGTGAATTGAGCGAATGAAAGGAAAAGCCGCCCAAAGTGATGCAAGATCTGGGTGAGCCAAATGATAAATGAAGTCCTGGTGCAACAGTACGGTAATGTGGTGGGTTCTTCCCCTCCCGTTGAATGCTTGCAGGTGAAGGTCGAGGGTCGGACGCAGTTCCTGTCGGCCGTGTGCATAAGCTGCCTCGAGGGAAGCGGCGGTGGGATTCCGGTCCGCTGCCGATCCTGCACCCAGCCATGGGATGGCTCGAGCCTCGTTCTGGGAACGATGTACAGCTACGATATATTCGCGGCCATGCCCTGCTGCGCCGAGCGCCTCAAGGTAAATACACGTACGCGCGCGTGCGCGACCGAGAGAGAGAGAGAGAGAGAGAGAGAGAGAGAGCGCGGCATACCTCACCATTATCCGCCCTACGACTTTTTTATCACGTTCATTTTCTCTTCTCTCTACTCGATTCTCCTTTCTTTTAATCGCGAATTCGGTTTCTCACATTTTTATGGCGAGCATGGGATCGCTACTGGCCATTAGCATATTATAATGGCATCCGTACGAAGCGAAATGAGAATACGGTTATAGTAAGTCGGTGCGTTCTGCTTTAAGAGTCGGGAGTCGAAGCTCCTTCTCGAAATTAAATGATGCGCTTTAAAGGAGTTACTTGCCATTGATTTTTGCAGTGCTTTCGCATCCTGGCTTTGGCACGTTAGTCCGGGCAGTCACGATCTTCCGAACAATTCCTCGTGCGCGCAAAAAAATAATAAGAGCATTCGGCATCACGCAAGCTCGCGCAATTTGTCATTCGGTAAAAGGGACTTGTCGCGTAATTACGAGGCTGTCATAATTTATTATTATTTTTTTATTATTATTACTGTAATATTAAATCTGTAAAAAAGATAAAAAAAAACATGAATTTCTAATAATTGTAAGCGGCGCATACTGCTATATGTGTAATATCCAAGGTTTCGAACGTGGGAAGCGATATATTTAAAATATTAATGTCAGAATGCTTTATTCGGTAAAAATGTACAATTGCACACACATAGAGTGCAGAGAAAAGGAAGAGTCAAACTTTTGAAGGACGTAAAGTGGAAAGCAGGCCTTGTAAAAAGGAATTGACGAAATAGAACAGACAGAGAAAGAGACAGAAAGAAAGAGAGAGAGAGAGAGAGAGAGAGGAGAGAGTGAGTGAGTGAGAGTGAGAGTGAGAGTGAGAGTGAGATTGAGAGTGTGACTGAGAGAGTGAATGAGAGAGACTCCTAAAAAAAGAAAAGTCGAATATCGAAGCAGACTTTTTATTAATTTATTTTGTCATTGTGAACTTTGGTAAAAATTGTTGCACGATACATGCACGGTTAAAATTGATTAAAATTTGTCAATATCTCGTTATTCAATCAAAACGTGACTATCACAATAAGCAAGCTCCTCCGAATAAAAGGGCCGAATGTAGGAAAACTTATGTCCCGTGCAATGGCATTAGATCTTCGCGAGGGAAGGTTGGAAAGCTCGGCGGAACGATCTCCTTCCCATTATAGCGATTACTTTTTGAATAAATAACGTGGACGGACAGTCCGACTAGCAAAACTCGAGTATACGCGACGTTTTCCCTTAATCCGTAACTGTCGGCCAAGCCCGCGCTTAACCTCCTTCCCTCTATTAAATAAGAAAGTTTGGGCGTAGACTCAAGCAGACTCACGATCGACCCTCCATCCTGATTTCTCCCACAGTGCAACAGTTGCCACAAGCCGCTGATCTACCCGCACCAGCGGCTCAACTTCTACTCGGACTACAGCCGTGTGTTCGCCTGTCCGCACTGTCGCGCCGTCGATGCTCACTTCGTCAAGCCCTTGACGTCCTGCTTCACCCGCGAGCACTTCCAGCTCTACAGTCCCTGGCCCTAACAACCAGGGAAAATGGCCGGCGGCAGATCGGCGGTGGCCCAGCGCTGCCGCGACCACGCGGCCAACATATCCTCGAGCCCCCTGATGGCTCTCCTCAGGGCGAGCCTCCTCTAAGCCAACAACAGCCCAGGGCGCAACGAAGACACTAACGGAATTCCTCGCTCCGCCGGAAGAGAAGCCCCCACAAGATCTATCGAGATAGAGAGTGCGAGAGAGTGCGTGTGCGCGCGCGCGTGTGCGCTTGTGTGTGTTTGAGATTGAGAGAGAGAGAGAGAGAGAGAGAGAGAGAGAGAGAGAGAACGAATGAGTGACTATGCGTCTGGATGCGCGTTAACGTGTGTGTACATGAGATTGAGAGAGAGAGAGAGAGAGAGAGAGAGAGAGAGAGAGAGAGAGTGTGAGAGTTAGAGGGATGAAATGTGGCGCACGCATGTGCAGCCTGCATGCACCGCTCGCATACAGAAGACGCGGAGAGATTATGTGTGCATGCGCTTGCGTGTTTCCAATTTATGCGTGTGAATGCATCGTCGTGGTTGTCGCAATGCCGTTAGCGCGCGTGAGTCATGCGCGCGGCGAACGACGGCGACGACGATGAGAGACAGGAGGCAGAGGCGTCTAAAGACGGCCTACAACGGGAAATCGTACACGCGCCGGGATTTTATAGGAATGGCCGGGGAGTCCGTGTACGCCGGAGAGAGAATTATATGTCAGGGACGAGTAGCGATATTTCCATTGCCCTTGAGAGCCGGTGCCTTGTCTGCTGCTACGTTCTCTCTTCCTTACTTTTCTCTTTCTTTTTTAATGACTGCTGGTAATGTCGTGGATCCGTAAGTTTCGCCGTTTTGTTTTTTGTTTTTTGTTTTTTTGGTTTTTTTTTGTTTTTTTGAAGGGCAGCGAGTAAGCGAGTGAGTAGTGGACGATTGGTAAAGAGGGAGCGACAACCTTTTTTCGCTCTACTGGAATGTAATTCGGTACATAACTATTACATCGATCGTACAGTTGTAACGAAGCTAGGTAATATCAAGTTTCATAATGATATGACAATATATTGAAGATAAATTTTATCATTACCAACGAATAAAATGTTTATCTTTAATTGAGTGCAAATTAAAAAGGAAATACAAGAGTTTCCAAACTTATGAAAAAAAAGAGAGAAAAAGTATAGGCATTCTAACTTTGCAATCAGCTTTATTCAATAACAAAGCACATTTTTCTCATCTTTGATAAAAATTATCCTACATTCAGAGGAAACGCGCGCGCGCGTGTGTTTGCGATAGAATTGTTTAATTATTTGCTTTTTAAGGATAATCCGATTAAATATAAATATTTTATTAGTAACCCATATGTCTAATTCTTAATTTTTCTCCTTTGATAAAAAAAAATACAGCAAATCTAACGTGCCAACAAGTTTAATTGTTTTGCTATTTGTCATTACGTAACCATCTATATAAAAAATTCTCTATATATTTATATATATGTATCCTTGTCACTTCTGACATTTACAATTTTCTACGTGTTAATTAAGTTTATTACAATTTTTCTGAGAAATTCTTTCATTAAATTTTACGTCTATTTTAAAAGTATTTTTTGCTATACGAATTTTATTCGGTTATTCGTATAAAAAGGAGAATTATGCAAAACTTTCGTATCTACGCTTTTTATACTACGGACTGTAGTAAATTTTAAATACCCTTAAAAAAAATAAAAAAATTAATCGCACAAACTCTTGGGTATCCGTTATTATTGCACTTGCATCATTGTTCCTTGATGTTGAGCAATTAGCTAAATTCTAGTGTATTTACACAAATTTGCGCTCATAATGATCAATATTGTCTTGAATTTTTTTTTTTTCACTCTGGCGTTTGCCTCAAAGTCCCGAATGAATTATACATAAGATTAAACATCAATTTCTTATGCTGCATTTAATGAATTTATTCCTCGTCCAATCGAATTAAAAGCCACTTTCACTTTCGAAAGCTACGCTCGATTAATTATTAAATCATATTGTTCTTTCAAGAAGCGACGAATGCAAAACCCTTCGTTTCCTCTGTCCTGTTATCATGCCTTCTTTCATTGAACTTATCCACACAAGTGACGGGAGATTGTATTATGGAACCTACGGATCTGTCGCAATACCTCATTAAATATAAAAGCTGGAAAAAAAAAAATTCTACCTCGGAGCCACCTCCCTTACGTTCAACGGAATAAATAATTGAGAGATACAATATTAACGAGTCTCTATGTATTCAAGCAGCACAGGCTTTCAAGGGTGATAGGGAATCGTTCACGGATCTCTCCAGATGCCAGCGTACAAATAAATAATAATAATAATGAAAAAACTTTCAAACGCAACTGTAGAAACGCGACAGGTGTCACTCAACATGTGTGTAAAATCCACCTTAAATTTAGGAGAAAAATAAATGAAGAGTGCTATTGTTTGTTACTTAGATAATCAAGAACGTTGTTTTTTTTTACATTTTATTAGTTTATACGTTTAGGCGGCCATGTTGTTTTGTTTAAGGATCTGCGACACGCGTACGATTAAATAAGTTTCACGTTAAAGGTTTTGCCCTTTCTTTTACTATCAGCCTCGTCGTGCTCGTCTCTTTAATTTACTTTCGCCATTTGAAATGTATATATATATATATATACAATACCGTTGGTTCGTTCACTTGTAAAAATTGTCATAATGATAAAACGGACGAAATTCATAATTCTGGAATGTTTCGGGTTATATAGTTAAAATATAAAAGAAGGCAAGAAAGATATACAATGAAAGTAAAATTGGAGAACCGAGCATCGAGGCTTCGATATAGAGAATATCCGAGGCAAGTAAATTTTAAAGAGGAAGAATGAATTAAAAGTAATAAATGAAGCGTAATTATGAATTAAAAAAGTAATATCTCTTGGCGATGCTGGTCGTTGCTATCCAACCATAGCGGCCGTCCCACTAGCACCAAAATCACTTGATCGTGGTAATCGAGCGCGTACTTTTTATGTATTTCACTTCGCTTTTGCCTTTTGAGAGAAATAGACACTTACGTTGCATTCAATTCTTAAAATACAAAAAGTATTTTCCATTATATAAGCAGACACATATACACACGCTCGCGCGGACACGCGCTAGCACGCGAACACAGGCACAAAGAAAATAGACGCTATAAATACAGGCACACGAGCACTTACCGCGTTTGTGTGTACGCATGCGCGCACAAATGTAAGCGTGTGTTTGAACATTTATATCTTCACATACGGGCGATGAAAATTTAATTATGAGAATTATATGGGTGTCATTTGGATTTTTTGCCAAGTAAGTTTGTCATTAGGAAAGCTGTTTAACATACATCGGGATAAAATTCTAGATATATTTGTTCTGGGAGCTTTTGATGTTGTCTTGTGAAGCTGATTTGTCTGTAACACCTTTAAAACTGCTGCAGCATCTTTTATCAGGAATCACTGCTAGTAGAGTAAAGTAGAGATGCGTTAGCCATTTGTGAACTTTTGCATACAATTCGTTAGAAGCTTTCAATTGTAATTTTATGATTTAGAAGAATTATTTTTTAGTTACCTTTTACATAAATATATCAGTTCCTTTAGGCACTTTGGTCCCATTTGATACTACTGAAATCGAAATGGAAGATGGACTAGTACCAAGATCTACTCATTTAAAATTTTATAGGATTGTCAATCCTTAGCTTTTTCTAGTCTGTTTTAAAATATTTCTATAGATATCTAAAAAATAAGAAACAAAAACCATATAAAAGAAGAATGTGAATTTCGGAGTTATCCACAGTTGTTATATTGTTGGTTTAAATTTACGATAAACTAGCCGATGATGAGTCAATATTCGTATTGAGCTTGGATATAACATTATCCACATCAGTTCTACTAAGTACCTAATACACACTAAATGCATCCTATTTGAAACAAATAGCATCTGTTAAGTTGTTATTTGTGTACATTGATTGCATAAATATTAGAGCTATTTTCTCTTTTGTTTGTATTAAATGTGAATGAGAACTGGTAAAATTCGTTTATAAAATATTAATTTTATTGGCTGCTAAAGCGTAAAAGAAAACTACTCTCTCATATTAGCGATCTTCGTGCTTTTCTTCATATTCCTCATTGTAAGTGAACATACATTTATAAATTTAAAATTTTAAAATGAGATTATTTATTTAAAAAAAAAAAAAAAAAGTCTGTTAAGTATCTTGTATTTATATCGAAAAAGGAGAAAAGAAGAGGAGAAAAAAAAATAAAGAATAGAAATCAGGTTTATTCTCAATTATAAAACTGTTGATTAGCTATCTATGTATCACGTGACCTGGTAACTGTGATTAGAAATTTATTAGTTTAACATTTTGTTCCTTGAAAAATTATGAATAAAAGAGTGTTTCTTCTTTTTGAATACATAAATATCGGTTTAAGATATAACTAAATCTCAAAAAGCCATTTATAATCACGCAAGCTAGAAGATTTTTTTTTATAAAATTTTCACCTAAACAACATTCATAGAGACAATAACAATTATTATCTTTTTTAAACACCTAGAGCAATTAAAATGGTCTTGCATATTATGTGCATAGTAAGACAACGAGTGAGTGAGAGAGAGAGAGAGAGAGAGAGAGAGAGAGATAGAGATAGAGAGTGATAAAGTATATGCACGAGATAATGGCGAGAATTAGCAAATATTTCATTCTAGCATAACTATCACATGTATACGTACGCTGATTTTTATTATAAAAACTTAATTCAAATCAGAATTTTCATGAGTAAGCAGCTTGAACATGGCAACACACAATCTCCTTGGAATGTGCAAAAAAAAGTTAAAAAAAAAAAGACAAAAATTTATCTTTACAGTGAACGATAAGTATATTTCTCAGAGTGCCAAACGCGATCATCCGCGAATTTTTTTCTTAAGATCTCAAAGTTAATGAATCGACCAATAAGCAAAAATCACTTTAATTCATTTGAATCGAGATGGATTTTGCAGTAAGAACTTTGAGCTAAGAAGCGAAAGCTTCGAAAAATTGATTTATTCAGTTTCGTTTGAGTAAGAGTAACATTCGCTGTTCTTATGGAATTCATCATTTTATGAATCTTTAAACGCTCAATTTGGGAATACGAATAAACGCTGAGAAGATTCAATATTAAACAGAAAATCGAAGAAACAAACATATTCAGAAGTGCATCTCGCAAACTCTACTTTGAAGAAATAATAACTGTA